ACCATTAGAAACCTGAAGTACTGGACGACCGTCTTGTCCTGGTATGCGACTCATCAGGAGTTCGCATCCACGACTCCCGCTCCTCGCAGGTTTCGAACCCGAGACCTTCGTTATTGTGTGCGAACGCCTAACCATCGAACCACTGGGCCGGCATCTAATAGTGGTAATGTCTAACTCTGATTGATCTAGGGACTTTACGCAACATCACCCATTTGTCTTTGGTAGTAACTGCCTACACCCGACAGGGTTGAACTCCATTGGTCACGTCTCCTCAGCTAGAACTCCGAGAATTTCCTCACGAAGCTAGTCACTACTGAGCACTATTACGGTATTTTCGGGTAGAGTTTTAGAGGTTTGTGCTTTTTACACATTTGAGTCCCATACCAGGACGAAACGGCCATCATCCAGTGCTTCCAGGTTTCTTCTAATGGTGGTCTAACAATGATTGATTGATGATTTCAAATGTGTAAATTGCATTAGCTTTATTGCAAAAATTCTGTTTACGAATAAGCAGGAATGATGAATTTAGCGATAAAAGTTGCAAGTTACAAGTGTAGACTGATGAGGATATTAAGTTTTCCAGTGAAATATCTCATTTTTCTTTTAGTACATATTATACGATCATTTGTTATCTCGAAGTAATTCTTCATTGGGTGATGTGACAAGAGATACGGAATTTGGCCTAGCAGTGGAATACTGTATATGTGTGTGTTTCATCCTATCTTGGACTCCACATTTCTTAGTTGGTGTTCATTCCGGAACTCGAACCTATTACCACCCACTTCAAACTCTATGACTCTATCTATTCATTTACTTATTTATTCCAGATATGAATTTTACTTGTGCAACAGGATATGAGATTTGATTGAAAAGAGAGTAATGTTTGCCCTCTGTCTTATTTACTAGTCATACTCTATCTATTCTACTATAAACATGTAACTTTTCAGCATTTTTTAGTTTAATTATCTTAAAAAAAGTTAATACAACGAAAATTATACAATTTTTTCTCAATGTTCGACAAACAATCTACTTTGAGGATAATTTAAACTTGTACAAATTAAACAATCATTATAATTAGTAGTAGTAGTAGTAGTAGTAGTAGTAGTAGTAGTAGTAGTAGTAGTAGTAGTAGTAGTAGTAGTGGTAGTAGTAGTAGTAGTAGTAGTAGTAGTAGTAGTAGTAGTAGTAGTAGTAGTAGTAGTAGTAGTAGTAGTAGTAGTAGTAGTAGTAGTAGTAGTAGTAGTAGTAGTAGTAGTAGTAGTAGTAGTAGTAGTAGTAGGAGTAGTAGTAGTAGTAGTAGTAGTAGTAGTAGTAGTAGTAGTAGTAGTAGTAGTAGTAGTGGTAGTGGTAGTAGTAGTAGTAGTAGTAGTAGTAGTAGTAGTAGTAGTAGTAGTAGTAGTAGTAGTAGTAGTAGTAGTAGTAGTAGTAGTAGTAGTAGTAGTAGTAGTAGTAGTAGTAGTAGTAGTAGTAGTAGTACTTACTTTTATTTTGAAAACTACTTGATCTGCCATTCATTTCATTGTCATTTAGATCAATGGAATTCTGAAATAATGAACAGAAAAAACGAAAATGAAATTTAAAACTAGTTTTTGACCTAATCCATAGACTGATTGATACACATGAAATCTACACACTTTTTTGAAACCATGAATCGATCAATGTTAGACCATCATTAGAAACCTGGAAGCACTGGACGGCCGTTTAGTCCTAGTATGGGACTCCTCAGCAGTGCGCATCCACGACTCCTGCACCCCGCAGGATTCGAAATCAGGACCTTTGATATTGTGCCCGAACGCCCTAACCGTTAGACCCCTGAGCCGGTATCTAACGGTGTTAATGTCTAACTTGATCAAATTCACGGAGTTGTGCAACCTCATACACAGTCTTCGGTAGACACTGCCTACACTCGAACAGGTGGAACTTCACAGTGGTCACATCTTCCCACTAGAACTGGGAGAAGATTCCTCCTCACGAAGCTAGTCACTAGTGAGCACCGGTGATTTGCATTACGGGGTTGTGAAGATTGTTTCAAAAAATGTATAACTTTACAATCTTCACAACCCCGTCATGCACACATGAAAACTGTTTAAAATTTAATGACTGTGAATTTACTGAACTCATCGATTTATGATTACATATATATTTAGATTGTAGGACAGAGTATAAAGATTTTTTTGATTAGAGTTTCTAAAATTTATATTATGGCAAGACAAAACAGACGAACGAACGAGGGTATAGTAATTAAATTTAGTTATATCTGGTTTAAACTTCTTTCAAGCTATCCAGCTTACTACCGATACTACTATGGGATTTAAAGTGACAATTGCATCTCTCTGTGCTAATGTGAAATGAAAACTTGAATTGGTGTACGTACGTACGTCAGTCAGTCAGATGCAACGTAGAAATTCGTACGTAAGTACATCAGTTCATGTCGCCATACCACATCAGCACAGAGATGTAATTGTCAATTCAAATCCAATAGTAGAAGAGGTAGTAAGGGAATTAGAAGTAATCGGAGAGGTTAGGGTTAGAAGATATTCAAGAAATATGATTCAGTGCGAAAAGTTTAAAGAGTCGAAACTAGAGCTGTTGAAGAATCCAGAAGATTAGGAATTGAGAGAACACAAAGAATAAATGCACCGGCGCCATTGCAAACGATTTTGAGCCATGTCATTCAAGGTCTCTAACCATCGATTATTATCATCTCGCGGACTCCAACCAGGTAGTCTACAATTACCGACATGGCTCAGTCCACTAGTCAATGATTTCATGGATTTCTGCCCTGTTTTCGTCTGGCTGCCCCTAACTTTCTTCCAACCTATTCCTACACTACAAAACAAAGCTCGTCGATGCAGTCGGTGGGAAGGCATACGTAACACATGTGCCAACCACCTCAACTGATGAAGTTTCACTACTTCATCTATTGATCTGCCATCCTTACCTAGCACCCGTTTCCTAATAACAGCGTTGCTCACTCGGGTGTCCCACGATATACGAGCAATGCTTCGTAGACACCTATGATCGTAAACCAATAACCGACGAATATCTTCTACTCTCACTGGCCATGTTTCACAGCCATAAAGTAAGACGGAGCGAACTACTGCACAGTACACTCGTCCTTTAGTCAGCAAACGGATATCTCGCCTGTGCCATAATTGACGCAGGTTGGCAAAAGCCAATCGAGCCTTCTGTATCCGAGCTGAGTTTCTTCAGTCACAAGGCCATCAGCACTGATGAGACTCCCGAGATAAGTGAAGCGGTCAACACGCTCGACTACTCCACTCCCTATCACTAGTTCAGGTGCTGATGCAACCCAATCTTGAAGCAACATTTTTCATCTGGAGGGGGGATGTACGTACATATGGAGTTCTATGTTGTTGTTGATTGACTGACTGAATAACAAAGTCAGAATTTACAACACCAAAGTCAAGACACTTCTTTTTTGTTGGGTGAAAACTTATAAAGCTACGAATGTCACCACATAAAAGATATAGGCATTTATTAACAGTTGTCTCGAATCCGTTTTCCAGACACCATTAGCAACAACCCATTGTATTGTAGAACAAAGCAGCATCCATCTGCGGAAGAAATTATGAAAAGCGCTGCAGGTGAATAGTACATACATTGTGCAGATTCACAAACTGCTTAACAAGTAAGTCATAGCATGAAATTTTCAAGGTTTAAAGAAAAGAGGCAAACAAAATAACACATTGAACTGACAGTTGGATATAAACATGAAAAGAAAGAATAGCAATTGGAAACATCTGAAAAGGTAGGCGAAGGAAAGAGTTGATTGGAGACTACTGGTTGGCTGCTTAGTCTCAACGAACAATAACAGGCTTAAGTTAGTAAGTATCACATCAGAGTGGGGTTCAGTAATTGCAACTAGCATGATTCGAGCTCAGGACTTTCAGTCTTGCACACGAACCCTTAACCTCTGGACAAGGGAGCCGGGGTTGAATGGTATTAAATTATGTCTACTTTCAGTCAATCCACGGTCGTATGCAACCTCTTCCACTATCTACGCTGAACACTGCTTCACATTTGAACAGGCTTGAACTCCACTGGTAACTAGAACGAACAAATGTAGTGAACGAGAACACAGGTGAGGGCGACCGGATTGTATTTAACGGAAATTACAGAGTTACTCAGTAAAATCGGAAAACCATATCGTAAATCGTTTTAATTTGCAAAATATCAGTTAATCATCATATAGAACTGGACTGTTCCTGTTGCAAAACATCAATCCATTGTCACTATTCATGCGTTTCATTCAAATTCCATTGTGTTCTAACTGCCAGACATTACGTTGACACTCACGTCATATACTACTTATAAGTAGCTCACACCACACTCGTCCTCTCTTTTAATAAGCTGTCGTCACTTTCAAAACAGGGACCCTGGTCAGTTAATATCACCGTCCGTATTCCGTGACACGCTACGATATGCCGGATTACCACTTCGGTCATTGTTCTTGCCCGCTGGTCTGGAATGGGTACGGCATCTACCCAACGTGTGGCGTATACTAGTTCCCGCTGCTGGGACACGGCGGCAGGCGCACTCTCGATAAACTGTGACGCCAACAACTGTGCCCCCGACTCCTCGTCCATACTCAGCAGCGTACGGCGCAGCAACATCGTGAGCTCCACAGCCAGCACCAACGGGTCAACATCAGTCGACAGCCTCGCCAACCGGAACCTCTGCGGTCCCTCCTCCCTGTCCACCGGGCTGTCGAACTCCGTCATCAGCCGCCCGGTGACCATCTCCCACGCCGTCTTCCCGGCGGCAGCGTCCAGGCTGTCGTATACCGCCTTCGCCCCACCTCCCGCAGCGTCCCCAGCACCACCAACTCCGCCCCGGGCCCCTTCACACCCACCAGCTCCACCGCGGCCTCAAACTCCTCCAGGAATCTCCGCAAATCTCCGTCCTCCAACTCCTTCGAGCAGGCAGCGACACCAAATGTTCGTTCCTAGAACTCGGAGAAACGTCCTCACTGAGCTAGTCACTTACTAGTGAACACATGATGATTTCGAAGATGATGATAAGTCTCATATCAAGAAGAAACGGCCATTAATAGCTTCCGAACTTTCTAGTGGTTCGGTCTAGCAACTGATCGATCAATTAAATAACAACTACTCAACAATCTCCACAACCCTATGTAATTCATTCATTTTCTCAATATCATCACATTCATGAAATTAAAATATGTTGATAAAATTCAATTTTTTTTAGTTCTTTGAAAAATGAAATTTATGTAATATAAACAAAATGTATACAGATTTTTGTGTGTGTGTGTGTGCGTGTTTGTGTGTGAGCGCGCGGTCAAATTGTAATTTGAATGAGAGAAAAGATGAGTGTGAATAAGTAGATAAGCAAATTTCGCTCCCAAAATACAAATATTTACATTTAAACTATTTTTTTAAATTTTTATTTCTTTTAAATAAACATAAAACACTGTTTTTAGTCATAAAAGTTTGTTTGTTTTTTTTCTAACGAAAGATATTTTGACATTAACGAAAAATTATTAATTTTTATCGTACTTGAATAAATAAAATAATCTTACACAATTTCTTCTCCTTTTTTTATACTTTCATAAAAATTAAACAAAATTCAATTTTTGAAAATTAGAACAACACAGATAAAAAGCGAACAATATTGTTATTTTCGATTAGATCGTCATCAGGCTGCTTTACTCTCTAATATACATGAATATTTATGTATGAAAATGTGAAACCAATCAAGGCAATTTGAGTGATAATCACAATGAAATGAAATAGAGATTACGTCACTACATATATCACAGGCAGAAGTACCAGTGGATAGTAGGAAGACAGGTGCACTGACTGTAGTAGTGTACCCGAACCCGATAAGTTAACTGAGTTAGCCTACTCTAAGTGCATTTACAAATTCAGCTGCTCCTGTGGAGATAGCCAAGTCGGGCGTACTTCCAGCCAACTTACCCAATGAATGAGTGAACATTCCCAGCATGGTTTAAGAAGGGTCAGTTAAAAACTAAACGCAGTTCTATCTTAGCACACCTGGTAGACAGTGGTCACATTGTAGATAAATCTAGATCTTTTCGGGTGATCTATCGTTTACCTCCATCATTTCCAAACGGAGTTCCATCCCGTCTCCTACACATTGCTGAAGCCATGGGAATACGTACATTCAACAGCAATTTGTGTGTTCAGAAGAAATTCGTGACACCCCTATTTCTCTCGCGGCTGGATATCACGTAACTAACGATTGACATTATTTTTTTTACTTATTATTTTTAACACAGTTGCTTATTACGTAATGGTTTTGATGTGCTATGATGATTATTTGAAGTCTATTCATCCACCATTGACCTACTATTGATAAAACTTCCTACCATCCATTTGTAATTTTCCCTATCATATGTGGTGACGTAATCTCTATTTCATTTCATTGTGATTGTCACTCAAATTGCCTTGATTGGTTTCACATTTTCATACATAAATATTCATGTATATTAGCGAGTAAAGCAGCCTGATGACGATCTAATCGAAAATAACAATATTGTTCGCTTATATGTGTTGTTCTAATTTTCACAATGGGAATCTTTAAAATTCTTAAAATTCAATTTGATGTTTCATTTTTCGAAAAAAAAATTTTATTTTTATAATCAAAAATGATTGGTATCAATCGGCGGTTAGTAGTATATTGTGTTTTTTTAAAATATATATATACAAATAAACTTTTCCTGATAATAATAAGCTGGAATTCAAAAATTCACTCCCAACTCTATATACAAGGTTATTGATCATTCATATGATTCATTTCACTAGTGACTTGCCTCGATGCAGCAGCAGCCTCTGCAACAGTAGGTCTCAACATACATAAAGGAAAAGGTAAAATTCTCCGATGTAACACAACATGCACAAACCAAATCACTCTTGATGGAGATGCCTTGGAGGACGACGTTAACACCTTTACATATCTGGGCAGCATCATCGACAATCAAGGTGGATCCGATGCAGATGTGAGGGCGCGGATTGGCAAAGCGAGGGCTGCCTTTCTACAGTTGAAAAATATCTGCAACTCCAAACAACTTTCAACCAAAGTCAAAATCAGGATTTTCAATACAAATGTCAAGACAGTTCTACTGCATGGAGCGGAAACTTGCAGAACTACGAAAGGCATCATCCAGAAGATACAAGTATTTATTAACAGTTGTCTACGCAAAATACTTCGTATTCGTTAGCCAGATACCATCAGCAACAACGTACTGTGGGAGAGAACAAACCAGATTCCAGTGGAGGAGGAAATCAGGAAGAAGTGGTGGAAGTGGATAGGACACACATTACGAAAAGCACCTAACTGCATCACGAGACAAGTCCTCACATGGAACCCTCAAGGCAAAAGGAAAACAGGAAGGCCAAAGAATACATTACGCCGAGAAATAGAGAAAGATATGAGAGGAATGAACAAACATTGGACAGAACTGGAGACGGAAGCCCAGAACAGAGTTGGTTGGAGAAAACTGGTGGGCAGTCTATGCTCCATTTGGGGGTAACAGGCGTAAGTAGGTAAGTAAGTGACTTGCCTCGTGAGGTTCTCAGAGTTCTAGTGAGAAGCCTACTTAGATGTGAAGGAGTTCTCACTGAAGATAGTGGATGAGGTTGCGCAAGACCGAGGATTGATCAAATCTGGACCTTAACACCGTTGGATACCTGCTCAGTGGTCCAGAGGTTCAGTGCTCGTGTGCAAGATCGAAGGCCCTAAGTTCGAATGCTACAGGTTACAGGAGTTATTGATGCGCGCTGCTGATGAATCCCATACCAGGACGAAAAGGTCACCCGAAATCCGATAGTGAGCTTGTGTTTTACCAAACAGTTCGCTATATCGCTTGATCATTTTACGTATACATACATCTGTTGGTAACCTTTATACATCTGACTTGTTTTTTAACTCAACTGGTCATAGCTTCTCATTAAAATCATAGAAATATGTATTTTTCATTTATGTCATGGATTGATATAAGTTAAACATCCATGGAAAATAATTAGGTGCTAGATATCTATTCTGTTCAAGAATGGAACTCGGTTGCAGTGTATATCCATAGCCTCACCACAAAAACGATCGAAATCAAGATCTTCGTTCTTATTTGAAAGCTTAGTCTTTACACCACTTGTTCTGAAATCTAATGGTGTACATGCCTAACTCTAACTGGTTCGTTTTATTGCGCAACCATCTTCTATTGTCTTCTGCCCGATAACCTTCATACATATCTGACATGGTTTAACTCCAGTTCTCATAGCTTCTTATTTAAAAAGAAAATCCCAAAAATTTGTATTTTCCACTTCGAACAAAAGTTTGCATATTGTGGGAATATGTTCCTATTGAACGGCAATAATATCATAGTTGTCACGACTTGAAAAAAGCATTAGTATTTTGCACGGAGGTTACTCAGTTTGAACATGAATAATACTTTCGTTTAACAGACTAGAAAACAAACAGGTCATAGTAGAAAGTCATTAATTAATCTATTTGTCTTACAGTCTACAAATAAAAGTGTACACATTTTACTAATAAATAATTATACATACTCCATATTTCATTACTTACTTGTTCACCCTTCTTCGTTTGCAAGTCTTGTTTATTCGAATCAATTTGATCATTGAAATTTGGCCATGATAATGATGCAGTTATTGACTGAATATTATTATTATTAGTAGTTGTATTATCAACAGTGATATTGATTGCATGTGGAACATTGGACAATAATAATGATGATTGATTCTCGTTCAATACATCACTGTGATTATTGAACTCTACTGGTAACATGTAATTACTCATTTCATTGGAATTTTGTTCAATTTGTAAAAATTTATTTATCATCTGATGATTATCTGATTGTATTTCAGTATATTTCATTGACACCGACGAGGACGAGGATGATGACGATGAACAGGAAGACGATGATGATGATGATGAGGACAGTAGAGAAATCGATGAAGATGGCAATAATAATAATGATGGTGAGAAGTCATTTATCTGTTGTACTGATAAATCATGATGATTATTTAATAATGTTAAACATTCTTCTTCATTTAATTGTGAATGATTATTCTTCATTGGTTGGATTAATGAATCATTATTCCATACTGTGGTGAAATGTGATTGTTCACAAATTTCTGACAAATTATTATTTATACTACTTATATGGGAGATATCAGTAGTTGGCAGTAGGATAGTGGAAGAAATCGATGAGTTGGTATTTAGAAAATTGTAAATTAAATTATTTTTAGTGATATCATCATTATAAACTGTTGTCGTGATTGTTGTTGATGATGATGACAATGATGGTGATAGAATTTGAGCAGATGATTTTAATTGATCGATAGTTGGTTGTTCAATTAATAATTGTGTAGGATTTGTTAACAGAATCAGATCATCTGTTGTTGGCAAGAGAGAAAAGGGAAAAGATTATAAAATGATTCTATTTAGTTAAATAGTAAATAATGGAGGGATATCAATACTTAGTAATTGCTTATAATTTCGATGCAAAATATTTCGGATTCATTCAGTCAGAGTCAGATGCAACGTAGAAATTCGTACGTAAGTACATCAGTTCATGCTGCCATACCGCATCAGCACAGAGATATAATTGTCAATTCAAATCCAATAGTAGTAGAGGTAGTAAAGGTATTAGAAGTAATCGGAGAGATTAGGATTAGAAAATATTATTCAACAAGATTGATTCAGTGAGAAAAGTTTAGGAAGTCAAAATTAGAGGATTTGAAGAATCCAGAAGATTAGGATTTGAGAGAACACAAAGCATAAATGCACCTTGGTCATTACAAACGATTTCGAGCCATGTCATTCAAGGTCTCTAACCATCGATTATTATTATCTCGCGGACTCCAACCAGGTAGTCGACAGGTACCGACATGGCTCAGTCCACTTGTCAATGACTTCATGGATTTCTACCATGTTTTGATTTGGCCGCCCCTAACTTTCATCCAACCTATTCCTACACTACAAAACAAAGCTCTTCGAGGCGGTCGGTGGTTGGGCATATGCAACACATGTCCCAACCACCTCAACTGATGAAGTTTCATTACTTCATCTATCGATGTGCCATTCTTACCTAGCACCCGATTCCTAGTAACAGCGTTGCTGACTCGGGTGTCCCAGGATATACAAGCAATCCTTCGAAGACACCTATGATCGAAAACCAATAACCGACGAATATCTTCTACTCTCACTGGCCATGTTTCACAGCCATAAAGTAAGACGGAGCGAACTACTGCACAGTACACTCATCCTTTATTCAGCAAACGGATATCTCGCCTACGCCATAAGTGACGCAGGTTGGCAAAATCCAATCGAGCCTTCTGTATCCGAGCTGAGATTTCGTCAGTCACCAGGCCATCAGCACTGATGAGACTCCCGAGATAAGTGAAGCGGTCTACACGTTCGACTACTTCACTCCCTATCACTAGTTCAGGTGCCGATGCAACCCAATCTTGAAGTAACATTTCTCATTTCGAGGGTGAGAACCGCATCCCGAACATGCTTGCATTGTTGCTTAGGATGGTCAGAAGACTCTGCATTTAGTCAGCGTATCCACCGAATAGAACTATGTCATCGGCATATACTAAGTCAATAAGCGGATTCATTGGCCGGACACCTTCAGCAACAACCTAATGAACGAGAGAGCAAACCAGGTTCTTGAGGAGGAACAAATTATGGAGAATAGCTGAATGTGGGTAGGATACACATTGAGGAAAGGCCTTAACTAATTTACAAGACAAGATCTCACTTATCACCTTCAAGGTCAAAGGGAAACAAGAAGATCAAAACAGCACAATTCTCTCAGAAATAGAGACAGATATGAGAAGAATGAACACTGATCGGATTAAACTGGAAAATAAGGCTCAGGACAGAGTAGGTTGGAGAACGCTAGTCGATGGCTTATGCTCTATCGGGGTTCACAGGCGTAAGCAATTAAGCAATATCAGTTAGTTAGTTGGTTAGTTAGTCTGTTTCATGTTTATCATGAAGTTACAAGCTGTCTTAAACAGGATTAATACTTCACTTAGATGCGTGTATAAAGGTTGATAAATATTAGAGTTGAACGTGGTGTGGATCTCATTCAACAATCATTAGTTAAAATATGTGCATCATTTTTTATCTGACGCCTAGAAAATGTTTGAATTATAAAATCGAAATAAAACTTTTCATTCTACAAACCACTGAAATTACTTAACTTATCTCAAAACAAATATCAAGACAGTTGTTCTAATGTATCGGGCGGCAACTTGGAAAACTACCAAAGCCATCATTCAGAAGATACACGTATTTATTAACAGTTGTCTATGTAGAATACTTCGGATTCGTTGGTCGGACGCTATCAGCAACATCCTATTGTGGGATAGAACAAACCAGTTTGCAGTGGAGGTGAAAATCAGGAAGAAGCGGTGGAAGTGGATAGGACACTGTTGTAATGCTGCTGCTACGTAGCTATTCAAATCCTACCGACGTCCGAATTCAAATATTCCAATACGACCTAAATTCTATTCGCAATCTCTTACATATCAGAATACAACGCCGTTAGACGAAGTTGTTTAATGGGTCGAGTACACAGTGAAGAGGAAGGCAGGAAGGAACGGAAGCTTTACAGATACTGCGTATTTATACATTTAGGTCGAATAAGAAACAGCATCGAAGTCTGTGACATTGACAGTTAAGACGACCAATAAGAAACAACATTGTAGTACGTGACATTGAGATCTAGGACGACCATAAAATTAACCAGTCGGAATTAACCAATAGAAATTGACCAATAATTCTTTTAGGATATTGGATGAATATCCTAACAGACACAAATTGAGAAAAGCACCCAACTGCCTCACAAAACAAGCCCTCCCTTGAAACCCTCAAGGTCAAAGGAAAAAAAAAGGAAGACTAAGAAATACATTATGCTGAGAAATGGAGACAGGAATGAAAAAAAAAATGAACGAGAATTGAACAGAACTGGAAAAAAAGGAAACATAGGACAGTGCAGGTTAGCGAATACTGCTGGTCGGTGGCCTATGGTCCATTCGGAGTAACAGGCGTCAACTAGTAAGTAAGTAAGTATGTAAGTAAGTATCCCTTTAAGATTTTGTCATTCCTAAAATCAATTAAACATACGTTTCTTTTCAGAAACAGAAAAATAAAAACCGACTCACCTAATTGGCTAATAGGATCATCCAAATTGTTGATATTCACAGTTTGTTTTTGCTGCTGGTGCTCTTGATGCTGCTGCTGATGATGATGTTGTTGTTGAGGTTCTGAAAATAGTAAATCCGTAGCAGGATGCTTCTCATCATCTTCAATATTAACATCATTATTCTTCATTCTTGTATTGATGATCATAGCATTCACAGAACTAGGAGAAGTTGTTGTTGTTGTTGTGTTCATCAACGTTCCTGTTGTGTCTATCATCGCTGTTGTCGACGGTACGGTAAGAGACAATGATGATGATGATGATGATGCTGTTGATGACGTAATACTGTGGAAATTGTTTACAGTCATTTCATGATTATCATTCATTGTCAATGATGAATTTGGATGTATGAATTCATTGAAATGAAAAACTGTATCCGTTGGTATATTATAATTTGTTGTCATTGTGCTGGTGGTCATTAATCGTGGACTGATTCTATCACTCATACAACCACTACTACTACTACTACTAACATTATTATCAGTAGTCAAATGATTAGTGATTGAATTTATGAGTAAATCTTTCTCGATAAAATGATTTGAATTCATTGAATATGATGGAATATTATTATTATTATTATTATTATTATTATTGTGATTTAAAATATCCGATTGATTAGTTAACAATGTATTATTGGATGTGATCGATACGCAATAATCATTAAATCGATCACAATTGGTGAATTCATTGTCGTTTGGTTGATGTTGTTGATGCAATGAAAGTGAATGGGCTGGTGACATCGCTGGTGGATAGGGAGGATGTTGTTGTTGTGGATGAACTGCACCACTAGAATATGGACAATCAGTGAAGAGTTTCATGGAATCCATTGCGTTGGCTTTGAATCGTTTAGAATGTATTGATTTCTCTAGACAATTCCCACTGTCATTGGTGTTATTAGTAGTATTATTAATCTCTTTGTTATGATGTTGTTGGGGTTCAGTTAAATGAAGTTTCAATTCTTTGGCTTTATTTTTATAAAATTTATCAGGATTTAAACGATATTTTATACGATGATTAGAATTATTATTGTTATGATGATGATTATTTGTAGTGGTAATATGATTTGTAGTATTGTCAAGATCGGTATCATGATTATTATTATTATTATTATTATTACTATTATGTAATGCAGTATGATTATGATTATTATTATTATCGATATTTGTTAACCATTGTAATGATTCAGAAGATTGTAAATGTTGTTCATGAACAATCGCTGCACGTGGTACTTTATCCAACCAACGTGGTTTACTTCCATCTTCTATATAAAAATGAAGTATTCATGAAAATGTTTTGTTAAAAATAACATTGATCGATTCATGGTTTCAAAAAAATGTGTAACTTAACAATCTTCACAACAATACCGTACTGCAAATAATTACCTGTGCTCACTAGTTAGTGACTAGCTTCGTGAGGAGGAATCTTCTCCCAGTTCTAGTGGGAAGACGTCGTGACCACTGTGAAGTTCAACCTGTTCGGGTGTAAACAGTTACTACCGAAGACTGTGTAGTATGAGGTTGCGCAACTGCGTGAATTTGTTGATCAAGTTAGACATTAACGCTGCTGGACACCGGCTCAGTGGTCTAACTTGTAGGGCGTTCGCGCACAATACCGAGGGTCCTGGGTTCGAATCCTGCGGGGCGCAGGAGCCGTGGATGCGCGCACTGCCACTGATGAGTCCCATACCAGGACGAAACGTCCGTAGTCCAGTGCTTCCAGTTTTCTAATGATGGTCTAAAATTGGATCGATTCATGCTTTCAAAAATGTGTAACTTAACAATCTTCACAACCCCGTAATGTAAATAAAATAAGTAAAGATTAAAAAACCAGTTACTGTTGCGGTTATGGTTAAATTTTTTTTCAGCCAGGTTTCGTTTATTGACATTAAATGGTGTGTTTTTTTAAGAATGTGTATGTATCCATTCGGGGCACATCAACATACCTCGTGGATGTGTGTACGTGAAGAATGTTGGGGATGTTAGATCTCCAGAATTCGATTGATAAATATCTTGATTTTTGATTGATTTCATGGACCGACCAGTTGATCTTGAAATCACATTTCGCACAAGGAAAATCCTTGGCTGTGATTGGTTACCGTGTCATTTTAGTGAGTGCTATTTTTGTGACTCTCAAAAGGACGTCTCTACAGAGTATAAATAAACGCAATTTGAGTGCTTTGATTCACTAAGTGTTGGCTAGGTGTTTGTAGAATACACTTTCTACGCTATATCCAGACTTCTTACTGGTACGATCTGGTCAAGGGATCACAGTAGCCTACCTGGATGCTGATTCATTGTTTGTTCTCGTTATTCAACTAAGGTGAACTGGTAATAGTTTTAAGCATACATAGAGACGAGCGTAACAAAAAACCGTTACCCGGACGGTCTTGCCACGTGAGCGTCGCATTGTGAGCAAATGAATGTTACATGCATATCAGAAACCCTTGAATTTTTATATAATCATTGGCAGAACAGTTCCTGGGGATGAATAGACGGTCATCAATCCAACGAACGTATTTGCTACCACGGACTCCCCCTCACGAGTTGCATTTATACCAGTGGTACTCAGACTTTCGCCTAAGCCTTTCATGATATGCAGATAGGCATAATCACTCTATTTGACACTCAATTTTTATGCACATACCTGTATTTGTTTAGTTAATTTAGGCCTCACTTTTTGATAAGTTCATCACTTAGTATGCTTGAGGCTATTACGAGTTTACCTTAGTCGATAGACCCGAACGAGACAATAAACCAGCGTCCAGGTAGGCTACCTTGAATCCGAAGCTGAAGTGAAAAGGCTTTGTAAGCGTAGAAAGTATATTCTACAAACACCCAGCAATCACAGTACAATCAAGCATACAACTCTCGTTTATTTATACAACATAGAAACGTCCTTGAGACAGTTAAGAAAATCGTACACTAAAATACACAGCAGCCATTCACAGCCATGGATTTTCCTGGTGGGAATTGAGATCTCAAGGTCAACTGATCAGCCCATGCTGGCAAAGGTGAAAACCAAAATACGGCATTATCAAGCGAATTTTGGGGATCTAACATCCCCAACACTTTTTTAAATGTAGGAGCTTTCTTTGTGTAAGCCCACAAGCGTACCGTTTGCATATACCTATGAATGTAAATCACATTATCCAAGAGCTATGCATTCCGTATACATGCAAGCAAACACATTGTGTAGTCCCCTAAGGCTTTTAGGTTCGAGCCTCGATAGGCTTTTTATCAGATAATATGTTTGAGTGATCGATGGGTTCAATCACCACCGATCGCCCAAATTACCTAGCTGCACTACAAAAGGTCCTTAAGTCAGATTATACTAGACACTAAGAATATTAAACAAACGAAAAAGTAACAAGAAAAGTAGTTCGATTGGAGATTGTTACGGGCACTAGTTTGATCTCGTTTGTTGTTACGGGTATGAGAGTGGTTGTCACTTCCCGGCTGCTCACACAGTGGAACCTAAAAAGGAAGGTATATTAGCATTTGTCTTAGAGACCTAGGTGCGTGACCTCAGAGCCCAACGGACAACTGCTTGAGGCCGGTCAGTCACTACCTTTTTATGAAGGGTTTTTGAGTATTAGCTCCGCTCTTAATAGCCCTTAGTGGGCACCCTTACCGACGGAGACGAAAATCCGTGAGGTAGGATGAGGTGTGATAATTTTAAGGTCGACCTTTTCTAACCGTTCCTTCTTTGTGAGAAGGCAGCATCGCTGCAGATGCTGGTTGTCCAAGGGGAACACCTTACTGCTGTCACATCCCTCTACAATCAGTCAGCAGTACGACTTCGCCCTCAGACCTTGAGTAGCTGATTTTAGTCTCATCACCCACCTGCCTGACAGGAATATATGTTCCAGGCAATATAGCTCTGTTGGGTCATGACTTTTTATCATTGATCACTTTTTATTCAATATAAATAAATGGCTCCATGAAATGCTTTTATAAACCAAGAACAGAGTGATCTTCTATTGTAAAAAAGTTGAGCAGATCATCGAATACTCTAGAAATGCAAATTATCAATACATTAGGAGACCATAGAAATTATGTAAAAGATTAAGTATAATTCAACTAAGTAATTCAAACTTTTAATAGCTGCACGACCTTTGTCTGATCTATTTCTTGAAATCTCTGGCTTTAAATAGATGGAAGTTTATTTGACCGTGTTTAAACTGGAAGAGAATAAACCAGATTCGAGAAGAGGAAGAAATCAGGAAGAAGTGCCAAAAGTGGATAAGAAACACATTGAGGAAAGAAACTAACTGTATCACAAAACAAGGAATACTCAAAGTCAAATAAAAAAAAGAGGAAGACCAATGAACTTATTACGCTGAGAACTAGAGACAGACATGGAAAGAAAGAACAGCCATTGGACAGAACATGAAAATGAAACCCAAGACAAAGAGTAGGTCGGAGAATGCTGATTGTTGGCCAATGCTCCGATGGGGGGTAACAAGCGTAAGTAGGTAAAATAAGTAAGTAAGTAAGTAAGTAATCATTCAAAACTGCTTCAGTTTACTTACTTTTACGAACTTGAATTAGGTCTGGTCTCATACCAACTCGAAAACATTGTTTCAATCTACACGATGGACATTCACGACGTGTAGTCGGTGTGATTACATGTTCTCCAGATTTAGCTGTACATGTTAATTCCTAAAATAAATAAAAAAACAGGAGAAATAAGATAAAATAAAATAATAATTTCTGGCAAGTCCATTGACAATGTTTGTTTGTGATAGAGATGGTTCGCCAACTGAATTTTTTGCTTATAAAGCATTCTTTTGAAAAAAAAAACAACATTATCCGAAGAACAGTGATGAAAACTCCACAACCGAAGCATTCAGCTCAGAGAATGCAATTCCACCAGAATTATTTGTGTATCCAAGTTTGTGCCCGAAAAAAGAAAACTAAAAACTTTTTCACACATGATATCAAAGTATTATAAAGAACAAAAGTAAAATACAGGATCTGTGTGACAAGTTATTTAAAAATATATATTTATACTCATTTTCGCATCCAACTATAGTCTAACAAACAGTGTCCAGTAAATTGGAAAATGTCACCTTTAAAAACAACACTGTTGATTAGTAAAATTCAGTCAGGATGCATTCATTCATTCATTCATACAGCTGATATATAAATCGATCATTGTTAGACCACCAATTATAAACCTGGAAGTATTGAATGACAATCGTTTCGTCCTGGTATTGGGACTACTCATCAGTGGCAGTGTGCATCCATGACTCCTGCACTCCCCTCAGGATTCGAACCCAGGATCTTCGGTCTTGTGCACGAATGCCTAAACTCTGGACCACCAAGCCGCTAATCTAACCGTGGTAATGTCTAACTTCGATCAATTCACACGGAGTTGTGCAACCTCATGGATGCACACCACAATTGTTTGTGTATCGAAGTTTGTGCCGAAAAAAACTAAATCAAATTAAACTTTTTGAATGAAAGGAGATGGCAGTAAAAGTAGAAGTAGCGAATAGTTCAAAATGTGCGTTACACATTGTGTAAAAATATACATATATAAATATATATACTTCATTTTCATATTCAAACACAGAATGACAAACAGTCTCCAGTCACTGGAAAATTTCACCTTTAAAAAAACAACAGCAACAGTTTATTCCAGTTTTGGTTTTTTTTTTCAGAAAAAAAACGTGTTGATCAATATCATCCAGTCAGGATGCATTCATTCATTCATACAGCTGATATGTGTTTGTTGTCTGATTTCAAGCAGAAATGTCAGTAAAAAGTTGTGAGAAAAGAAAACGTGGAGATTTTGAAAATCCTAATATATATATAAACTTGTACGAACGCCTGTTTTTTCATCCCCCAGTTTGTTAGTTTATGTGAACAAATGATAATACGAGAAGGAGAAGTAATAGATCAAGCCAATCCTTCAACCAATCACTCTTAGCATATACAACATGAAATACCAAATTACATTACTGTTACGCCTGCACGTAAACATGTCAACTTGATATACTTGAACTATTACGAGTTTACCTAGTCGGAAACGAGAGCGGGTGTCCGGTGACACGACATATCACTCAAATCCAATTATTACAACCATCATATTTAGTTAAAATAAGAAGACATGATATGAAGTAGAACGTGTATTCTACAAGCATCCAGAAAGCACGAGGCCCGAATCCAGAAAAGAATCAGGATTCCGGACTAGGGATCCAAGACTGAGCCCTGGTCCTGGTCGTGGTCATAAAATGTTACAGATAATGCATATTTATACATTTTGGTCGAATAGGAAACAGCATCGAATTCTGTGGCATTGATAGTTAAGATGACCAATAGGAAGTAACATTTGAAGTGACATTGATAATCAGGACAACCAATAAGAAACAACATTGAAGTATTTGACTTTGAGAATTAAAACGACCATAATTTTGACCAATAGAAATCGACCAATAGGATTTGACCAATAATTCTCTTAGGATATTGGATGAATATCCTAACAATTACACATCATCAAGTGAGAAAATACATCAATGTAGTATGATGAGTAAACTAGCACAAGGCTGGGTATTATTATAAGGAAGTCTATGAACGAAATGGAAAAACTGTCAGAAAATTTTTTGAAATAATAATAATCGTACAAAAGGAATTTATATAAAAACATGTCATCATCTAGTTATGTAATAATATTTACATACGAATACGATAATTCATAAATCAATCCTGAAAGTTATCATAATGTTAGGAGGATATGCATTCATCAAAAATATTCTAAGAGAATTATTTTTGGAAGTCTAATTCTATTGGTCGATTCTTATTGGCCAATATCATGGTCGTCCTTAACTATCAATGTCACGTCAAATGTTGTTTCTTATTGGTCGTCCTAACTGTCAATTTCACAAACTTCAATGTTGTTCCTTATTCGACATAAATGTATAAATACGCATTATCTGTAACGTATTATGGGTCGGACAGGGATCCCTAGTCCGGGATCCCGATTCTCTTGTGGACTCGGACCTCATACACTCTGGATGTTTATAGAATACATGTTCTACTTCATATCAAGTCTTGTTCTTTTATTAAATGGGGGTCGGGACACTCGAATTAGAGTAGCATTTCGTGTCGCCGAATCCTCGATCCTCGCTCTCGCGTTTTCTGATATTACGGGTTCGCGCTCAATGCCTAAGATCCTGGGTTTCAATTCTGTGAGTAGTAGGTGACAAGGATGCGCACTAGTGATTAGTTAATCCCGTAATAGGACGAATCGGTCGTCTAGTGTTTCTAATGGCGGTCTGACAATGATTCATGCATGCTTTCAATCAATCAATGAAAAGGTATATTCACACTAAGTAACAGTGCAAGCATGTTCGAGATGCGGTTTTCCCCCTCCCTGCGTCACCTATGGCGCAGGCGAGATATCCGCCTGCTAACCAAAGGACGAGTGTACTGTTCAGCAGTTCGCTCCGTCCTACTATACGGATGCAACACGTGGCCGTTAAGAGTAGAGGACTCCCGTAGGTTACTAGTCTTCGATCATCGATGTCTCCGAAGCATTGCTCGTGTATCCTGGGACAACGGTATAAGCAATGCTGTCGTTAGGAAACGAGTTCTAGGTAGGGACGGCAAATCAATAGATGAAGTATTGAAACTTCATCAGTTGAGGTGGTTAGGACATGTGTTACACATAGCTAACCATCGACTGCCTCGACGAGCTATGTTTTGTGGTGCATGAGTAGGTTGGAAGAAAGCTAGGGGCGGTCAAACCAAAACATGGCAGAAATCGATGAAGTCACTGACAAATGAACTGAGTCATGTTGGCAGATGTAGACTGCCTACCTGGGGTCCGCGAGACGATAGTCACCAATGGTTAGAGACCTTCAATGACATGGCTCAAAATCGTTTACAATGGCACAGTTGCATCTACTCTTTGTGTTCTCTCAAATCCTAATCTTCTGGATTCTTCAACACCTCTAACTTTCTCCTTCTAAATTTATCTCCCTGAATTATACTTCTCGAATCATATTTACGCTTCCTAATCTTCTCAATTACTGCTAATACTTATATTATTACTATCACTCTTGGATTTGAACTGACAGTTACGTCTCTTTGCTGACGTGGTATGGCAACCTGAACTGATGTACTTATGTATGAAGTTCTGCGTTGTATCTGTCTGTCTGTCTGTCTGTAATTGAATTGTGGGTCATTATCCTATAGTAACAGATATCATTCATACAAATATTTTTGTCATACTTTCATTGAGTTCAATTACACATCAAGTAGAAAAAACAACTGGCCACTTGTTTATTATTCTATTTTGTGTGTGTGTGTGTGACTGACTGACTGAACGAACACATTTTCAAATGAATTTTTTTATTACCAAAAAAACGTAAAAAAACAACAATCAATAAACCATTCTGATGATTTTTTTTTAAAAGGGTATGTCCTAATCATTAAAAAAATCATCCTTATCTATGATTTCCATTTGTATTTTATGACACTGATGATCTCTAAATCATCAAAGTGGTAATATATATATACATCAATAAAGTTTGATTGTTTTTGTGAAGATTTTGAGGAAAATTGTTTATTTTTGAAAAAAAACACTCGAGATACCATTATTATTATTATTATTATTATTATTATTATTAGTAGTAGTAGTATTACTATGTATTCAACAAAAGAACCTGTCCAATAGTTCTGTTATATTATTCACCAAAGAATTGTTTATAATGAAGGTAAGAAGAATGAAAATGTTGATAGTTGAACAATGAATTGAACATTGAATGAAACATTTTTCACCATTTGCAAATTATAATGTTCTTTAAAGAATTGACAAGTGTTGATTGTGTGGTGTGAGCTACTTATAAGTGGTATATGACGTGAGTGTAAACGTAATGTCTGGCAGCAGAAGATTGGGGGAAGATCAAGAAAACAATAGAGTGGGAACACAATGGAATTTGTATGAAACGCATGAATAGTGAAATGTCAGACGATGGATTGAAGATGTACAAATTAACGGTTACGATATGGTTTTCCTATTTTTACTTAGTAACTAACTCTGTAAATTGCGATAAATACAATTCGGTTGCCCTCACTTGTGTTCTCCTTCACTACACAAGTACATCCAGCCCAAAAAAGTAGGACGAAAGGCGTGCGATACATTCCATAGCTAGGGAATTACTTTTCTTATACTTACAAATATTGTGTTACTCTGGTTAAAATAAAACTTTTCATCGGTGAGTGAATAAGACCATGTTTTGCTATGTATGAATGAAAAAGCGAACTTCTACCCGAGTGTCCCAACTCCCCATTGAATAAAAGAAGAGGACTTGATGTGAAGTAGAACCTGTATTCTACAAACATCCAGAAAGTACGAGGTCTGAGACCAGAAGGAGGCAAGGATCTGGGACTAGGATCCGGGTCCTAAAACGTTACAGATAATGTGTATTTATACAGTTGTGTCGAAAAGGAAACCGCATCGAAGTCTGTGACATTGACAGTCAGGATGATCAATAAGAAACAACATTGGAGTACGTGACATTGATACTTAGGATGACCATAAAATTGACTAGTAGGACTTAAGCAATAGGAATTGACCCATAATTCTATTAGGATAAAGGATAAATATTATAAATGGAAAATCATATCAAATGAAGAATTTTTAAGCCACAGTA